TTCTTTCTCGTATTCTGTAAATACGTGTTTTGGTTGTTGGAAACCTGGTTTAGACTCTTTTTCTCGGCAGAGTGAATTTGCATGTGGGGCTGGAAGGAATGCAATCTGTGTCACAGTTTCCAAGGGCAGGATGGATTTTCTAGAGGACAATAAATTTTTATTTTTTTGCTAATAAAAAAAACCCAAGCAGCTTGTGTGTGTATGTGCGCACAGTGCAGCCGGGCAGTGGGGTGAACTTTCTATGTGCCTTGGCCCTGCTCTTGGGAGCGAAAGAGTTCCTGTAATTACAGACCCAGCTCATTGGGATTCAGCACTAGGAGAGGCTGGGCACCTCCCAGTCAGCTTTGTAGCTGACATTCCTCCCCCAAAGAGTTTACAATCAAGATGTATCTATATGACAATATGTAACAGGGCTGAGACAGTCCCATCAATGGAATGACCGAGCCACATGAGGCTCTTCGCAGGTGCCTCCAAACTAGCCAGATTCGTGGTCTTGGCTGAGAGATCAGGTCTCAAACTCCTTCTTCTGGAGGAATGAGAGGTAGCCCGGCTGAAGAAGCAGTCCCATGATGTAATCAGTAAAAGTATCAAAGGCAGTGTTAGAGCAGGACCCTGGGAGTAGGACCTTGGATCTGTTATAGAGTCATAGACTTTAAGGTCAGAAGGGACCATCATGATCATCTAGTCTGACCTCCTGCATATTGCAGGACAAAGAACCTCACCCACCCACTCCTATTATAGACCCCCTAACCTCTGGCCAAATTACTGAAGTCATGATTTAAAGACTTCAAGTTACAGAGAATCCACCATTTACACTAGTTTAAACCTACAAATGATCCATGCCCCATGCTGCAGAGGATTCTCAAATTTGCCACTCACTTTCTGTGTGAAATAGCATTAAAAGCACGGTGAGATCCTTGAATGAAAGGCACTATAAGGGTACATTGGCGGCATGGAAGATGGCAGCTGTCAAAAACATTTCCAGAAGATCTTTGGAAAATGCATTTTTAATACAGATGTCACTGGCCTTTGGATCAGACCGTACGTGTGTTGGGAACTAGCTATGGGCACTGCAGCATCTGTCTTGACTGTGTGGGGCTGGAGGGGCTGCAGCATCCCCATCCCCCATGGTGCATCAGGAGCTGAAGGGGCTCAAGCAGGGCTCCCATCCCCTCCCATGGTGTGTCAGGGGTTGGAGTGTCTCGTGCAGCTTCCCCATACCCCACTCCCCTGGACTCTATGTTTTTTATTATTCAAATGTGTCTTGTGCATTGAACTTTATCCTGCTGGAACCATGCAAGAAACCACCCCAGGACAAATGGCCTGAGCCCAGAGCCTGAGTTCCCTGCTGCCTTTAGAAGCTGTGAGTCCCTTCAGGGCACCACTATCCGGGAGTTCAAGCTAAAGCAAGTCAAAGACTTGACATTAGCTCACCAGCAGGCCACTTGGATTGGGTGTGACTCTTGAAACTGGCTCAGCACACCCTGATCTGGATTTCATTGGGGCTGATCAAGATTTGCTAGGCACCCTCCCTCTGAAAATCAGGCCTGTTTAAGGTGCCTCTAATCTGGCATCCAAAATTGTCCGTCACCGTAGGAAGGTCTGGCCTCTATTTCAATAGCCTACATTGCTCACGAAAGATCCCAGAGAGCTTCACTCACGAGACCCATACGGCACCCTGAAAAGGCAGCCAGGTTGTCTCTGCTCTTTCTGCTGCTCTGCTGACACTAGTATCAGAGGCACCCAGTCACGATGTGGCCAACTGCTCCCCCATCCACCACAGCGGCGCTGCAGCAATCATTAATAACACGGTTTAATTACACCTTGTGTTCATCACCCATGGCATGGGGGCTGTTGCTAGGTGGACTGTTTTCAGGGGTTGGTAACAAGCCTGTCTTGAGTAACAGGAAGGCCAAGAGACACCCATCACCATTTCCACTTAGAGTGGGAGACCAATCTCCTGTGTCGTCCCAGGTCCCAGCATATTCCCCCAAGCCTTCTGAGTCAATGTGGGGAAAGTCCCTGCCAAAGCCATGCTCCTAGCAAGAATTAGGAGGACTAAAAATAACACTTCATGGCTTCGGCTGTAGCTCCGTAGTGGTTTCACCCCTTTCCTGGCCTGGAGTAGCTCCAAGGGCAAGGTTATTTTTAAATGGTAATAAGTAGCTAAGGTTTTGCCACCTCTCAGCCATGAAATGTTGGTTGGTGCTGCACCTCGGCAGCCCTGGCTCACTGAAATCCCGCGCCAGCCCTGAGGGATGCGGTGACTAGGATGCTGTCCGGCACTGTCGTGCCTTGGCTGGCTGGTGAACCCCTTACAGCAGGTGTCAGTGCAAAACAGTGAGTGACCTTTGCTCGTGCCACGGGTGGTGAGCTGCCCGGACCTGGTAACAAACGGTGTGTTGACCTGCGGGGCTCATCCCTGCATGGCGCCAAATGCCGTTCCTGTCGGCTGACCTTGTCTGGAGCGAAGGCTACGGCGCAGCGTGGGCCATCAGCGGCCCTTGGGGCCGGAGCAGTAGAAAAGATACAGCCTTTGACCTGGTCTATAGTGGCCTGCTGAAGGGACTCCTCCAAGCGCTTTTCCTACAGGCAGCCACTGGCACGGCCTCCCCTCCTCCAAAGCAGCAAGGTAAGAAATCCCCAAGTGGCAAGGGCTGCTTTTAGGGCAGGTCATGCCCACGAGTAGGGTTGTCAACTTTAAACCCTGACAACCAAACACCGCAGCCCCACCCCCCTGCCCCAAGGCCCCACCCCTGCCCCGCCTGGTCCATCCTGTCTCCCCGCCCTGCCTTGGTCGCTGGCTCTCCATGCCTGCTCCCCCCATCCCCTGGGCCTCACCTGCCGCCTGCAGAGCCAGGCTGGGGGGGGGGGGGGCGCTGATGCAGCATCTGCCCACCTGCCCAATTGGGGCACAGCAGGGGTCAGTCCCCGGAGTGAGGTGCTGGGGTGGGGGAAATTGGGGCACAGTGGGGTGTGTGCGGGGGGGTAGGGTTTCCCCAGAGTGAGGGGCCAGAATGGGGAACTCGGGGTACAGCGGGGCAGGATGGATGTCTGTCCCTGGAGCGAGGGAGTGGGGGGGGGCCCAGAGCGAGGGGCCGGGGAAATCAGGGCTCAGCGCCGGGGGGGGGCAGACAGGCTACAGTGCCCGCCTGGGTGAGAAAAGCAGCAGCTATGGCGGGTATCCGGACTTTCAGCGTCCAGGGCCCCCTTGGACTGGACGGTCCGGTAAAAAAAACCAGACACCAGGCCGCCCCACCCCGGAGCGCCACCTCGGGAGGCTACAGGACAGGGCTGGGCTTGCGCTGGGGGTAGGCCGAGCTCCACGAAGGGCTGTGGACTGGCGCCATCTGCCAAATGCAGGCAGGCCTGCGCCCAGGGGCCTCAAGCAGTGGCCGTGTGTTGGCTCATCCCCACAGGCGCTGCATTGGCAGCGGGGGAGGGGCCCTTTACTGACAGGGGAGCAATTTCCGGGCAGGAAAGTGGTTTGAGACCAGCGCCACTGCTCTGGCGTTTGCAGCGGTTGTGGCAGCACTGGCTGGTGAAACCCCAGGGTGCAGGGGGAGCGTCCCAGCTGGCGGGGCAGCAGGGCCAAAGTGCGCATCTGTTACCCTCGAAACACCAGAGGCCTAAGTCAGCTGCTCCCACTGCTGGCCTGTACCTGTACTTCAGGGCACGTACAGAGGCCCTGATGCAGTAGAAGCCCAGGATTGGGGGGGGGGGGGTACTGATGGGAGCGTACAGGGAATTTGCTGTTTCCCAAACTGTATATTTTAGCATTTCCCCCCCCCCCCCCCCCCCCCATGGGTTTTAGCTGTTCCATGCACCATCACAGGAAGCCTGATTCTGCCCTTGCCCCCCCCCCCCCACTGGTGCAGAGCAGGAGTGCCCCCCCACTGGGGCAACAGTTACACTGATGCCGGTGGGAGGCACCTCAAGCCCTGTGTTTGTGGCAGGCTGACTCTGACCGAGGCTTGGGGCACTGTGCCATGGTGGTGTAGGTGGAAGGAGCTGGCTCCCGCTGTGTCTTGCCTGACCTACAGGAATGAGTTAAGGCCGCAGATCTGCTGCCCACCGTGCAAGCAGGGTGTGGGCACCCCCGCCCAGGACAGTGCTGCCTGCAGGGGGCACAAAGGGACTGGCACTCATGGGGCAGGGGAACCCTTGGTGGAACAGGCAATAGCCTACCCTGCATAGCGTCAGGCTCAGTGAGCTGCTATCCCAGCGCCCACCTCATCATCGCAACCACGTGCCCCCATCCCAGCATACGAGCTGCTAGGCCTCAGGCCTTGCAGGGTATGCTCATGGCTGCCTGGAGCAGGGAAGGCAGGTCACTGGCTCAGTGCTGCAGCACCCGTCCCACAGCCTCTGGAAGCGCGCGCAGGCCAGCAGTAGCCTCCAGCTCCGAACCCAGTTTGGGATTAGGGCTCAAAGGCCTGTAACCAAACGTGCCTGGCTGGGGTGTGGGCAGCCGTGTGGGAAAGAACCGCCGCCTGCCAAACGTGCCCGTGCTACACAATGGAACCCTTTGGCAGGAACCCAGCAGGATAGTCCATGTTTGCTGAAATGTTAACACTGGGGCAGCATTTCGACTCTTCTGGTCTGAACTAGGTTAGAGTTTGTTGGAAATAAATGTAAAAGTCAAAATACCACCCCCACAATGAAGTGCTTGGAGCCTATAGAAACAGAATGTGGCCATGGGGTGGGGTGCTGAAGTAGGGTTCTGGGTTGATAGTGCCTCAATAGAATTTCACAGAACTGTTGTGGGGACTTTGTTGGGGCTGATTCGGGACAAAAGAAAACCTCAAAATGTCACCCTAGCCCCCCTGGAATGGCAATTCCTCTTGTCTCCCACCTGTAGCAATCACCGTTGACCCTGGCTTGTGAGACTCAAAAGCCCTAGTCATTTTAGCACGCATCACGGCTCTGCTCTGCTCATGTATCACATACTTATGCATATAATTTTTGTCGTTCCCCCCACTGGCAGAGAGTTCCACAGGTTAACTGGAGGCTGTTTCCTCTTTATTGCTTTTACTTTTTTTGAGCCATTGACCTGCAATCACAAACTTATTCCCTCACAGTACTTGCATCCGTTACTGTACAGCAGGGGGTTAGCTTTTAAAGGGCTGTAACTTTGTTTTAAATAAGAATAGCTTATTTGTGAGAACCTTAAAGTTGGCTTAGTTGGAGCTCCCCACGTCCCTAGCGAGTACAGAATGGAGCTGCCCAAAGCCACGTTGATGCAGGGACTTACGCCTGGGCCATGGCTGGAGTGACAACACTGAGCACGTGGCGCACCACACCCTGCCAGGTAGTGCTAGCCTCACGGTACAAAATGGGAGCAGAAGCACAGTGAATCTGGGGCATTACGACTCCTCAGCCCACCCCTCGGGCCCTCTGGCGTTGACCCAACCACGTGCTATCACGGGGTGAAAGTGGGCCGGTACAGGCCAGTACGGTGCACTAGTAAAAACTGGCCACAGGTTCTGGCCTGGAGGCAGTCGATGTTAAAGCACAGCCACGGCAAAGGATCCTGTTTTAACATCGTTGCCCATTCCCCACCCCACCCCACCCCGCTCCCAGGCCACCGATAAGGGGGGGCTCAAAAGCAGCAGCTGCCCTGGGGCTGGTGATTTAAAAGGGCCCGGGGCTCCCAGCTGCTGCTACCGCAGCAGCGGCCGGAGCCACAGGCCCTTTAGATTGCCGCCGGAGCCCTGGGCAGCGTGGGCCCAACAGCGTGGATGGGCTGGCTGGGGGATGCTGACCCCCCCAGCTCCGCCCCCTTCTGCCCGAGGCCCCACCCCCTTCAGCTGGGCCCAGAGCCGGCCGCCGATACCAATAAGGGTGGAATGTTACTTTCGCCTCTGGGTGAAGGCTCAGGGAGTCGCATCGTCTCTGGTGGGTGCTGTCACCGCCCTACCCAGCCTCTTGCTGTAGAGACTCAGGGCAAGTCAGCACCGCAATCTCTGTCATGGGGCAAATACCAGGAAAGTCAATTGTGAGCTGAGACCCTGAGACAGTGGACCAGGATCAGAGCCACAATGGAAGGCCTTAGGGGGAAGTCAGCTAGCTGGGGTTCGGGTGGGAGGGGTTTCCCTTGTGGCTACAGACCAGCTGCCATTGCTCGGCAGTAGAATCAGAAGAGCAGCCGCTCCCAGCAAGGTGTGGGTGGGTGGCCCTGGCCCTCTTTACTCTAACATGTGCCCAAGCCTCCCCAGAGACCAGAGCACTCTCCCCCAGCCCCTCAGCCATACTGGCCAGTGCTGCTGTGGTGTTCCAGGCGGACAGGTCAAACAGCCCTCGCATGCACTAGCGTGCCGGCGGCGTCCCTGCTGATTACTGAGAGGGAGGAAGGCACCAAAAATCGTGCAGCAGCCCCTGGCGGACCGGGATGCTGTTGTATTTATCTGTGTGCCTGGACTCCACTGGTCCCTGCCGAGCCGTAGCTATGGCCTTGGGGGCTAGGAGCTGAGTTCAGAAGAGCCGAGCGGCAGGGTGGAACTGGAAACGCTGTGGATAAGGGTAAGTAAGCGCCTCTGCGCTACACATATAATCTGCTCTTCTGACCCCATTCTAATCATGGGTCTCTGGCCCTATTCCAACCTGCTCCCTTCCTGCTGCAGAGTAGGCTGGCCCCACCCAGTGTTCTTGGACAGGCGTTTTACACACACACTAAGTCCCAGCTACGCTAGCGCAAGGAACCAGGACACTGACTGGCGGGAGGACGTGGGGATGGGGGTTTGGCACATAGCTCAGTGTGGTACCTACTTTTCCTTGTAGCAGAGAGGGGAAGCTATTTAATGAGAGCAACACTCCCCCCGGCCCCCCTCCCCGAGTATTTCCACTCTGAGAAGTTTAGTTATTTGTAACAGTAACTAAAACGTTGGAGAGAAGGCGGCGTGGGTCCAGTCCCTTTAAGGCAAAGGGCACCCGCTGCAGCAGCTGAGCATACCACAGACCTCCCAGTCCCTGGCCCCAAGCCGAGGGCCTAGCCCTTGCCCAGAGCCGCACTCACGGGTTCTGCGTTTGATGAATTCTCTGGCACAGCACCCTCTGTGCCTGCTGCACGGGGACAGAGTCCTGCGCTTACCCTTGACAGCAGCTCCCCCTTCCCACCCTTTCAGCTCTGCTCCCTCCAGCGCTCGTGAAGTCTCGCACGCTCTGTTCTGCTTCGACAGCAACTCCTGGAGCAGGAGGGAACAGCTGCTGCTGCTCCAGCAGGGCCAGCTGGATAGATTTCAAACCCCCCCCGTCCCCCCCATCCCCAGTGGCTTTGGTTGCAGCTTTTTTTGGCCTCCCCCCATTTTCTGCTCCTGCACCATCTGGAGAGCGGCATACAGCAGGGCCCGCGGGGATCGCAGCCGGGGCACGTCGCACACCCTGCTGGCACCTGACAGGCTGCCGCCGACTAGCCAAGGCTGCTGATGCTGGGTTGGGATGGAAAGCAGCACAGGGCTCCCCCTGTCCTCAGCCTGAAGCCGGGTCAATTCCACACACAGCTGGGACCGGAGACTGCCACAGCCTAGCTTCACCCCCTGGGGGCCTCCTCTGCGGGCGCCCTGTCGCTGCCAAGGGGGCTGGGATTGGATGGAGTTCTTTGTAACTGGTGGTGGTTTGGGCCCTGCTACCTCGGGGCTGAGGCCTGCTCCCCTCTGGCCCGGTTCCTGCCTGGTTGCTGTCACACACTCTCCTTGGACTGCTTCGCCCGCTTCTTGCGCAGCTTCACAAAGGCCTGTGCCTCCTTGTCCCCTTTCCGGGACTCCAGCAGCTTCAGGAGTGGGTCCCCTGGGGTGAGGCGAGAGAGGTAGGGGTTAGAAAAAAGGGGAGCAGAGACTGGTGCCTTCAAGCCCCTTTTCTTCCCCATTCCAGGGGAGCGTCCTTCCTAGGAAACCCACATTCAGCCCCCACAGCTGATGCCAAGCGACAGCAAAGCACGTGGCTGAGGGGGCCACACCTTCAGCCACAGCAGAGTTTGGGGCCGGGCCGAGAGCTACAGCTGCCCCAAAGTGACACTCTCTGTGCTGTGCTCAGGGGCTGGACCCCTGCACATGCCCCATCTGCAATGGGCCCCCACTAGCAGAAAGCAGAGACATGTCTAAGTCCCAGCACCGATCTGGGTCCATTCCCCAAGGCTCAGTATAATGGCACTGGCATAGATCCGAGGCGAGCACTCAGAGAGCGCTGCACACCCCTGAGCACCCTGCTGCAGGAGAAGGGCTCACCACTGGGTTGTCTGATGGCACAGCCGCCAGACGCAGAGAGGTTAAGTCCCTGGCCCAAAGCGGCCCAGCGAGGGAAGCAGCTCCAGGGAGGGGAGAAAGGTGGGGGCAGGGGAGCAGCTGGAAACAAAACCAAGGCTACCAGTGGGTTTGGGGTGCATCAGCGGTAATCGGGTCTGGGACACCTGGGCTGGGTCAGCTGCGTCCTCGTCTCCGGTCAGCCCCGGCACGTCGCAGAGGGGGAAAAAGGCTTCTCCTTCCAGCTCATTGGCTCCCACCGTGTCGTGGTCTAACACTGTGAGCAGCAGGCAGGCGCCATGCTGCCGGCATTTCTCGGGAGGGACCAGACTGCAGAGAAGAGAGACAGGCACAGGCCTTCGCAGACACGCCATGGCACAGGCGCAGCCCACCCGCCAGGAGCAACAGGCGGAGACTCAGCCGGGTCCAAGCAAGGGGCTCAGACCCTGTGGTGCCCAGATACTGTGGTGATGGGCACCCTGTGACTACTGAAGCAAAATCCAGCTGGCAGTGAAGGGGCCAAACTTTATTGCCCTTCGCATCAGGGCAAAGGAAGCCAAACAGGAGTTATTTATAGCGCCGGCACCCCAGTGCGCTAGGTGCTGTACAAACCCAGAGACATCCCTGCCCCCAAGGGCTTCCAATTGGAGTAGTTATAGCAAGCAGGTAGGGCCTTGCTGCCCAGTCATAGCATGAGTGACTTGCCTCTGGCTGTAGAACCCGGGGTCCTGTGCTTTACCGGCCAGCCCCTGCTTCTCCACAGGTAGGTTTATAATCAGGAGAGAACAAATGAACCCCATGCTCAGTATCAGCTCTGCTCCAATACTCACAGCACTGGGTATTTCCTATTTGGTTCAGTGCGCCCACCCATCCTCACTTCTCTAATTTTCTTGCTGCTTTGGTGCCCCCGGCCATCCCCCTCTAAGCAGGCAGCCAAGGGCGTGGAGCCGCTCAGGCAGGCAGCCCCAGCATTTCACACTAGCAGATGTTGGCCTGGCCCCACCAAGAGACAGAAAAGCACTGTGTGTACGTTTCATTTCAGCAGCCAGGGAAGGCCCAGCACTTTGCTCCAGGCCGGGCTCACCCTACCCAGTAGGGCTTTGCACACACAAGCCTGAGTTTTAGCCCTCCTGAATCGTGACTGCACTAATCACGTCTGGAACGCATGCAGCTCTCTCTTCCCAGATGGCCCAGTGCAGGATCTGCCCCCCCCGCGAGCAGAGGAGCAAGCAGATCCCATTGGGAAGGGACGGTCCAGCCACTGGGTGGAGACAGCGTGTCTGTGGGGGCTCTGTGCTGGGCTGGTGCTCTCTGCCGCCCACCATCACGTAGGGGGCAGGCGATGGGAAGCAGCCAGGGTCGCTGCTCATACGTACAATTCAAAGGCCTCGTCAAACAGTGGGTGGAGCTCGTTCTTCCAGCACTGGGTCGTGCGCGCCACCACCTCGGGGAACTCGTGTCGCGGCTCCAGGGTCAGCTGGACAAAGGGGTCGCTGGAGCCTAGGGGGGCAGCGTTGAGACTGAGAGAGAGCACGAGGCTGCTGCGGGGATCCCCTCGTTCCCAGGGATCAGTGCTGTGTGTGATGCTGGGATTGTTTATTCAGCACTGGCGTAGCAAAGTTATGCAATAGCAGCATTCTGCCCTCCCTCCCCCCCACACAATGGATCTAACCTCCAAGGGCCCTTGGGGGCCACAACAAGGGGGCAGAGTGGGGGATTGGCTCTCTGGGGCTTCTGCAGCACAAGAGTTTCTGGTTTGCAGGTCAGTTTCTCCTCCACGAACCCCGCTGGGGACACATGTTCCCTTGGCGTCTGGACTCTTCCAATCAATGGGCTAAAGCCGGGCTGGCGCTGGCTGTGGGGGATTATCAGCTAACGGGGTTGCCACTGTGTTCAGGTGAAGCAGCAGTGACCTCTCCTGGACGGCTGCATGAATTACAGTCTGTTCCCTAGAGATCACCCCAGATGATCCAGTCCAGGTTAGAGGGGACATGTCCCTGTGGCTCTGGAGGATGCCACAGGTTGATGCCACCCCCTTGCTGTGTGCGCACCCCACACATTACCTGGAGTGGAGACAAATCGGGATCGGTTCTATGAAGCGAGCAGACACCCTGCTTAATCTGCCAGGCTCTGGGTTAGGCTCATCTCATGGCAGCCACTCTGGGCATGTGTTGCAGAAAACAGAGGATTTCACAGGTCATGACCAAACTAACTTCCCTAGGATATCGGGCTCACAACTCAGCGCTGTGCACAACTGACCGCAAAGGGGCCCCTCTAGGCCATGTGCCAATGGTGTCGTCATTGCGCAGACTCAGCGCTCTCCCATACCCTGGAGCCACTGGCTGCATGCGCCAGCTCTGATGCTGCACAGGACCCAAGTGGCATCTTGGTGCTGACTGTTTCCACAGCCCATGGGCTCTCACCGTTTGAGTCCAGCGGGATGAGGTTGACAGCGTTGAGCACTTCAACACGGAGCTTTTGTTCCGAGGGACGGTAAAGTGCTTTAATGGTCACTGCACCATACTTCTCAGAGCTGGTCTCCAGCTAGGACGCGAGGAGCAGAACAGAAACAAGAGTTTTCCCGTTACATGAATCACTGGTTCTGCCAAAGGGTGAGCACAGGGGTACAGCACCCAGAGCAGGCATCACTGCAAGAAAGAGATCCTGACACGTCTGCACTGGGGTTAGGTATGTGAAAGGTGGACAGGGGAGCGACTCTCCCCTCACATCTCATCTGCTAAACTCCCAATCACCTGTCCTTCCCCCGCACTCTGCCCCCTCCCCCAGGATAGCTAAGTAGTGCTTTCTCCATCCCCAGTGCATCCTGCCATCCTGCACTGTGGGAGCAGAGGACAGGAAGCGGAGGATGGGAAGATCTTGTGATTTGATTAGGAAGGGCTATAGTTGGGTCCTGGATTGTCGACTGTTAACGTATGTCTACATTGCAATAAAACACCCATGCTGGCCCAAAAAGGAGGAGGGTCCCAGAGCCCGGGCTCCAGCCCAAGCCTGCTGGTCTATGCTGCAGTTTTATAGCCCCACAGCCTGGGCCCCATGAGCCCGAGTCAGCTGACAAGGGCCAGCCACAGGTGTTTTATTGGAGTGTAACAGTAGAACAACACGTAAGTGTCAGGCCCAGTTTATACAAGGAAATACAAACAGAAGGGTCATGTTTTGTAAAGGGACTGTTCAATGCAACAAAATAAGTTTACTCACAGTCACAGGACTGAAGGCTGGTAACTTGCTGCTTTATTTAACTGGATTACAACTGGGGATGGGAGGAGGATTCCCACTGACTAAAAAGGAAGTGGGTGGGTGGGTGTGATGTGTGGCTCCATCCCATAATAACCCTATAATGACCAGTTTCCTACATGTGACTATGGAGGAGTGAAGTGAGGGAACAACCCAATGGGGGTGGGCAGGGTAACAGGGCTTTATTGGGAAGGGCCAGGCCAGGCTCAGCACACTCTCACCTGCTCTTGGATTCTCCCGCTGAAGTAGCTCTGGATGAGTTTTCTGCTCGTGGCGGAGCGGAGCTTCAGCCCTTCCTCCAAATCCTGAGAGAATGGGGGGGGCGGGGGTGAGTGGAGAAACACACCCAGTTAAGCACTCAGGCCAGCAGATACACTCATGCCAGCAGAGATCAGCACTCACATCCGCGCTCTCAGACCTGAACTCAAACCCAGAAGTCCCCGAGAGGGAGAGCAGCAGCAGCGAGAAGCCACCAGGAGGTTTAGGGTGGGAGGGGATAGAGGGGCATTCTCTTCCCATGACTGTGCCAACATCTGCAGGAGCAGACAGCCCCTGGGAGCCTTAGCAGGCTCATCAGCGCCTGCCCCACCACTGCCACCTTGGGAACATTTCAGTGGAAACATTTTAACATGAGAATGGCCATACTGGGTCAGACCAAAGGTCCATCTAGCCCAGTATCCTGTCTTCCAACAGTGGCCTGTGCCAGGCGCTTCGAAGGGAATGAACAGAACAGACAGTCGAGTGACGCATCTGCGGTCATCCAACCCCACTTCTGGCAGTTGGAGCTTTAGGGACACCCAGAGTGTGGGGTTGCATCCCTGACCATCTTGGCTAATAGCCATCGATGGACTTGCCCTCCATGAACTTATCTAATTCTTTTTTGAACCCCACCACAGCCTTCCTGGCAAGATCCACAGGGTGACTGTGCGTTGTGTGAAGAAGTACTTCCTTTTGTTCGTTTTAAACCTGCTGCCTACTGATATCATAAGGGGACCCCTGGTTCTTGTGTTATGTGAAGGGGTAAATAATACTTCCCTGTTGACTTTCTCCCCACCAGTCCTGATGGTATAGACCTCTGTCATATCCCCCCTTAGTCATCTCTTTTCCAAGCTGAAAAGTCCCAGTCTTATTAATCTCTCCTCATGCGGAAGTTGTTCCATCTCCCTCGTCATTTTTGTTGCTCTTCTCTATACTTTTTCCGATTCTAATGCATCTTTTTGCGATGGGGAGACCAGAACTGCACGCAGTATTCAAGGTGTGGGCGGACCATGCATTTATATTGGCATTATGATATTTTCTGTCTTATTATCTCTCTCTTTCCTAATGGTTCCTAACATTTTGTTAGCTTTTTTGACTGCCACTGCACACTGAGATGTTTTTAAGACAACTATCCACGATGACTCCAAGACCTTTCTTGAGTGGTAACAGCTAATTTAGACCCCCAACTTTTTGTATGTACAGTTGGGATTAAGGTGTTTTCCAATGTGCATTACATTGCATTTATCAACATTGAATTTCATCCACCATTTTTTTGCCCAGTGACCCAGATTTGTGAGGTCCCTTTTTAGCTCTTCACTGTCAGCTTTGGACTTAACTAGCTTGAGTAATTTTGTATCATCTACAAACTTTGCCATCTCACTGGTTATCCCCTTTTCCAGATCATTTATGAACATATTGAAAAGCAGTGGTCCCAGGACAGATCCTTGGGGGACTGTGCTATTTACCTCTCTCCACAGTGAAAACTGACCTTTTATTCCTACCTTTTATCAAGTTATTGATCCAGGAGAGGACCTTCCCTCTTATCCCATGACTCCCTACTTCACTTAAGAGCCTTTGGTGAGGGACCTTGTCAAAAGCTTTCTGAAAGTCCAAGTACACTATACCCACTGGATCACCTTGTCCACATGTTCGTTGACCCCCTCAAAGAATTCTAATAGATTGGTGAGGCATGATTTCCCTTTACAAAAGCCGTGTTGATTCTTCCACAATGTACTGCATTTATCTATGCGTGTCTGACAGTTCTGTTCTTTACTGTAGTTTCAACCAATTGGCCTGCTACTTATCGGGCTGTAACTGCCATGATCACCTCTGGAGTCTTTTTAAAAAAAACGGCATTACATTAGCTACCCTCCAGTCATCTGGTACCGAGGCTGATTTAAGCGATAGGTTACACACCCCAGATAGTAGTTCTACAATTTCTCATTTGAGTTTCTCCAGAACTCTTAGGATAACACCATCCTGCCCTGGTGACTTATTACTGTATAACTGATCAATTTGTTCTTCTATTGACACCTCAGTCTGGGACAGTTCCTCACATGTGTGACCTAAAAGGAATGGCTCAGGTGTGGGGATCTCCCTCACATCCTCTGCATCAATGGTCTCCAGTCCTCCCCACTCCTTTAAAACGTCTCCCTGATGAAGGGGGCGTATTCTGAGCTCTGTCCCTGCAAGGGAAAGGGCTAGCGATTTACTAGGGTGTGCAATGAAAGCTTGGGGCTCCAGCAACTTTGTGCGCATGCAGCCCCCCCCTCTTGTCGGGACCCCTTGGCTGGGAGATCACTCTGCTAGAGCCAGCTGTGACAGGTGCAACAGCTTCTTACCATGAATGCTGGCGTGTGCAGGGCGTCCGTTGGCAGCCCGCAGCCCTCAGCGTGAAAGCAGAGCTCCAGGTTCTGTGGGAACCAGAGAGGAGTGAACAGTTATTTGCTGTATGGAGACCCCCGAAGCCAGGCCTCTGCCCCATGCTCTGCTGCCAGGTGCTGCCTACCTGCAAGGCGAACTGCAGCTTCCTGTAGTACCTGGAGGAGTTTTGCAGCTGGTTAGCTGCAGCTGTCAGTTCATTCAGGGTGTGGTTCCAGAGCAGCTCCAGGAGGCTGTAGTGAGTGGGGAAAAGGCAGAGAAAGGATTGCAGCACACAGCGAGTTCTAACAAGGCCAGTGCAGCACAGCGGATACTGTCAGTCCTTGGGCTGGAAAACCTAGGGCCCTAGTGCCTCAGTGGAGACATGAAGCTGCTGGTCTTAGCTACGATATAAGTGAAGAGAAGCCCGGGCCATGAAAGGAGGAGGGGAAGTGAAATGTGTCAGAGTGCGTATTGGGACATACTTCTATTGCAAGAGGAGCACCGGCTTGTTCCGTAATAGCCCATACACTGCAAACTGGGGTGATGGCCTCAGCTCATAGACTTTCAGGTCAGAAGAGACCATCATGATCATCTAGTCTGACCTCCTGCGCATTGCAGGCCACAGAACCTCACTCACCCACTCCTGTGGTAGACCCCTAACCTCTGGCTGAGTTACTGAGTCCTCAGATCATGGTTTAAAGACGTCAAGTTGCAGAGAATCTACCATTTACACAAGGTTAAACCTGCAAGTGACCCATGGCCCACGCCACAGAGGAAGGTGAAAAAACCCCCAGGGTCTCTGCCAATCTGACCCAGGGGGAAATTCTTTCCCAACCCCAAATATGCTGATCAGTCAGACCCTGAGCATGTGGGCAAGACCCATCAGCCAGACACCTGAGACAGAATCCACTATAGTAACTCAGAGCCCTCCCCATCTAGGGTCCCATCACCATCCATTAGGGATGTTTGCTACTAGCAGTCGCAAATCAGCTACATGCCATTGTAGGCAGTCTCATCATACCATCCCCACCATAAACTTCTCAAGCTCTGTCCGTTTGGTTTTTGTCCCCACTGCTTCCCGTGGAAGGCTGTTCCTGAATTTCACTCCTCTGATGGTTAGAAACCTTCATCTAATTTTGTGCCTAAACTTGTTGATGGCCAGTTTATATCCAGTGCTAGCCACGAAGTTATGACGGCTCCCCATAAACGTCACTGAGGTTAGTATGGCAGGTGGGAAGTGAGAGTAAGTGGGCAGGTAGCAGTCTATCCCTCGGCTCAGTGCTGAGCTGATGGCCCAGTACAGTGGTGGAAAGCACGATGGTGCTGGGGATGGCGTCGGGGATGGCGCCATGGGGGTATAGACTTAAAACGAAGGCCCTGAGCACTGTGGTAATCAAAGATCCCATCGTATTCTTCACAAGTGCCGGGATGTTTCCTGTATGGTAAGCTGGCTGGGACATTGTAGTTAGTATGTTCTCTTTGCCTGAAATCCCCCTGAAAAAGCCTGTTGTGTGTAGTGATTCTGGGCTAGAAAGGCTGCCGCATTCCACCCCAGATGTGGTTGCATTTCGGCAGTGGGTGAAGGATCTCCATATATGTGGTCTGCAGAGTGCTTTGGGATCTTTAGGGATAGAAGGTTCTATATAAGGTAGCACAGTTCCTGGAGGAGAGAGAAATGATAGTAGTGGAGAAAGCATCCTACAGGGGGCTGCTGTGTGCAATTTGTCACAACCGCAGTGAACCCATTGGTCTGGTCCATAGCAATAGACTCTAGGCTAATGGTGCGGATCGAACACTCCCTACTTGCCCTCATCCAGCCCACGGCTGACACTTGTGGTCCCAACACCGTAGCTCACCATTTAAAGTTCTCCTGGACCAGATGCTGGTTCATGTACTGCAGCTCCGACTCCAGGAACTTCATTAGGGGAATGATGGACTGTGGAGAGGAGAATCAGGAAACTCAACGGGAAAGGGGTTTCTCAGGCCCTGCCTCCATCTGAAACTTCTCTGCCAAGCAGCTCCCAAGCACGTTGGGCCCCTCTGCCATTTCCCAGCCTGAGAGCTCAGCTGTGCCAGCCAGCACCTGCCTCCTACTCTGTTGTGCCCACCTGACCCTGCAGTGGAGCTGGGGCTGCTCCAGGGAGGCTTGGCGTTGCATGTGTGGCTCCTTGTTTTAGAGAGAGCTTGTGCGCCTTTGGGCTGGGTCTGCCAGGAAGCAGCAGACATTGACAGGGTGTGGTACCACCCCCAGCCCCGTGCCTGGATTCTCTCTGTGCGTATAGCTGGATCGGTGACAGCCAGAGACCTACCTGGCTTCCCCCCACACACACACACACCTAACCCATCAGTCACAGCACCAACACCCACGATCCCATCCCATTGAACTCCTGGCCTGCCCAGCTTGGCTCCCAAAGCTGCATTTTGACTGCTCCATCTGGCTTCCCAGTCAATGCAGGGGGTGTGTGTGCACACGTGTGTGTTTATGTGTGCACGCACCCCTATGATCTCTCAAAGACATGGGGCGGGTAACATGGCTGGCACAGCCTGAGTGGGGCGGAGATGGAGAGTTACAGCCAGGAGCCAGCAGGGGGTGCTGTGAGTACAGCAGAGAAGGGCCCTGATGAGCCTTTTGCACTTGGTATGTAATGAAAGGCCCGGACAGACCCTAGACCTACAGACAGGCCAGTTCCTGGTACTGCCTGTGCCAGGGAGTCTGGCAAGGAGCCTACCAAATTGCCGGTATGGTTCGGGGCCATGCAGCAAGCAGCGTGTGCCTCTCCCTTCCTGCAGGAGCCACGCTGGCCCAGAGCAGGAAGGGTTGAGGCACCGTAGGGCATTCAAACCACTAGCAGCAGTTCCCAACTAGGGTGCAGCTTTGCCAGGGTGGCAGGGAGGGGGACTCCTCCCTGTAAACCGCCCAGGACAATTATTATTGCAGGTTTTTATGGCGCCCCTCGGCGTAGCAGCTGGTCACCGATGTGGACACGTAAGCAGAGAGTCAACCCACCCACCCCCGCACTGAGGCAGGACTGGGTATTCCTAGGCCATCCCTGACGGCGCATGGCACACCGCTGGGCCTCAGGGACATGCAGGGCACTGGTCAGAGCCATGCTGACCCCGGGCTGATCGTCTCCCACAGGCAGCACATATCAGGGGTTGGCACCTACATCTTCTGGATCCTGAGAGTCACTGCAGGCTGCCAGATTCTGGATGTGCCTGGAGATCCCGGCATCCAGCTGCCAAAGAAACACACACTTAGAACTCTGGGTTTGCTCCCCACCACCATGCCCGAGGTTTCTGATGGAGAACCTGCCATGTCAGCTCCTTAGAGCTCAACCCCTTTGTCACACAGCCCCATCTGCCTCTGGCACCGGAGTCCCTGATCTCCCTCCCAAACGAGGCAGCCCACCCAGCTGTGCCCTGCTGCCTCCAACATGTCACTGGGTTGGGTCTGGCAGGGCCCAATCCCAAGGATCTTGTCTTCATCCAGCCCTGGCTCCCTCTGACTGGTTCAGGACACGCAGTCCCAGGGAGAGAGCTGGCGGGACTTAGCTCCATACTATTGGCATCTCTATCCACCAGACCCAACGGCCAATGGAGCCCATGGGTATCTTTCCATTGGCTTCAATAGGCTTTGGATCAGACCCTATTTGACTAAGTCTTCACCCTTAGCCCAGACTGGGGAAGAAAGGCAAGGCTGGGGGGTTACTTTTTTTGCCAGGTTCTGCACCACATCTCTGATCTCGTGGTCGAGGCAGGTGATGGTGCCCTGCAGCTGGTTGTGGAGGGTGTGCTGGAACTGCTCCGGCTCAATGATGTCCTTCATTCGCTGCTCCAGGTGCCCCCACTCCAGCTGCTTCGGTAGCTTCAAGATCAGCAGCCGCAGCTGCTTCACGTTGTTCACCACGATGCAGAGCTGGGGCGGGAGGGAAGAGAAAAAGACCCACGTCGGTGGACACGCACTACTCTCGCTGCTCGCAGCCCGCTCCCCCTGTTCCATTCCCATCCTCACCCCCACACCAGGCCTGGCCCCCACATTCGCACAGCCACATCAGATCCACAGGGCAGCAGCACCCATAGGCCCATTGAGAAAGGCACCCTGCACCCAGTGGCTGTATCTATGCACTCAGCGGGACATCAATGAACAGCTTGGTACAAACAGCTGCGGAGACACAAGCCGTGTCCAGCAGCACAGACAACTGGGGAAAGTGAGGCAGAGAACGATTAGGCTCCTGCCCAAGCCAATGGCAGATCCAGACCCCAGATATCTGACTTCCAGACCTGTACTTTAAGAACACACTATGATGAATTGTCTGAGCTAATCAGAGGGAAAGGATGGAACCCAGTTCCCATACACGACCATAGCTGGGCATTTATTTCCTTGCATTCTGATTGGACAAGGCTGTAACTAAATGTGCTGCAGGCAAGCTCTGTTCCATCCCCTCCTCTGGGGAGGTAACAATGGTCTGATCCCAGCCACGACCTCACAAATTGGCCCCAGCTGGCAGTGGCTATGAGACACCGAGTGCAATCATAGACACGCTGGGAAAATGAAGGTTGGGCCAGCGTAGGAGACACTGTAGGTAGGTGGAAGCTGGTGTGTGGGATTATGTTCCCCATGGATCCTGGGAGCAGGGCAGCGAACGCAGGAGCCATCCAGCTCTCTCAGGTACTTATCTGACCCCTGTTACTGTGGTATCTGAGCCCCTCACAATCTTTAATGTATGTATCCTCATAGCACCTCTGTGAGGCAGAGCAGTGCTTTATCCCATGGTACAGATGGGGAACTGAGGCACAGAAAGGCTAAGTGACTTGCCCAAGGTCACCAAGTAAATCCATGGTAGAGCAGAGGATTGAAGCCAGGTCTCCTGAGTCCCAGGCTAGCACTAACCACTGAGCAATCCTTCCTCCCTGGCTTCCCCACCAAGAGATCAATGAGAGTTTCCATCCGAAAACGTCCCAGGACTTGCACAGAATCCCCCAGTTCAAATTCACTCCCTTCAGAATGCACCCCACAACAGGACTCTAGGGAACAAAGGCTGGGATGTTATTACCCCTACAACCCTATTGAATCACCGCGCTCTGGTCACAGGCCACACCCCCGCCCCACACCACATGCTCTCTCTAGAGGCTGCCCTGGCTCCCTCGACAGCCTCCCAATCCCTCTCCTCTCCCTGAATTTCCAGCGGAGGCGGGCACTGACACTCACCCTGTTGGCTGCATCCCCCTCGTCCTGCTGCTTCGACGACAGCTCATCCGCCCGGCTCTTGATCAGCTTGCAGTATGCCAGAGCGATCTTACACATGTCCTAGGGGATAGGGCAAGAGGCAGTGAGCATGGGTAACGCACAGTGGACAGAACACTGCACAGGTTTGCGCTGGGGGCAGATGTTGGCTTTATCACCCCAGATCGTGCCAATGGGCCATTCTCTCTGGCGCCCTGTCTCTGAGACTGACCTACGTCTGATGCTTCAGAGAAAGGGATTAAAAAACCCAAAGCACTTGGCCAGCATGTATAGGGGTAGGAGAGGAATTCCTTCCTGACCCTCTGCCGCTGATGCTCTGAAACATGACATTTGATGACCCCTTCTTAGTGTAGTTACAACTTGCTATTACTGATCCAGCTAGACTGTCCAACTACGCACCTCAACAAACTTCACCATGATCATGAAGGCTTCCTCTGGGTCCGGCCAGTCCAGCTGCTGCCAGGTTTTAACAATCTGAGCATAGCACGTGGACAGGTCAACAGTGGACGTGCTGTGTTTATTCAGCTCCCCCAGGGGCATCAGCTGGGTGGGTGGCGACAGAAAAAACATTTTACGGAGAAACTTGCAAGTAAACCAACAAACCGGTTCCAAAGCCAGCTCTTATTGCAAAGTGGCCCCTTATTCACCTTCCCCTGCTCTGCTCCCCCAGATCGTAGGTCTGAGACCAGGCAGTTTGCTCTTGGCCACAGCATCGGCATGTCATGGTAGAGGAGGAGTTAATGGGCATCTATCCAGTCGGGGTCACTTTGACTTTAGTGAGGGAAGGCAGCACTGGGGAGACACCTGGACTGTGAAGCTCTTTGCCCGTAAGGTAGGTGCAGAACAGGAAGAGGTGGCGCTGCCTGCCCATCAGGTCTCACCCGCCCTAGCAGGACCAGACTAAAGGAGAGTGGGTCTCTCCCCTCCAAGGCCCATTCCATCCTTGGCCTCTCTGCTGAGACTGCCAACAAAGGGAGCCAATTGTGGCTTGTGACAAGGAACGAAGCAGAGGCTCATCAACTCGCTTCACACAGGCTGCCATGGAGCCATGGTCTTTAACCCATGAGAATACAACAGGGTCAGCAATGACGTGATGCTGTGAGGGGACAGGGCTACGGAGAGCATAGAGAGCAAGGGCCCTGGGGTACGAAGAATCAGCTGTTAGAGGAAAGGCAGGTTCCATCTGTCACCCCTGTGCCCCTCACGAGGGCTTGCCTGCCACAGTGGCTCTCAGCAGGGATAGGGGACACTTGATTGTCAGGGTGCAGGAGACTGCTATTGTAGGGGTCCCAAAGCCTGCCAATCCTTAGGATTTCACATAGCAGAAAGGGGGGAGTCCTGGGGGAAAAGAATGGGCTGGAAGTGAAAGATGGGTCAGACAATGTCAAAAGATGGACAGCCTCAGGAAGGCTGGGGGGAGTTTTTCCCTCTGTGCAATCTCAGTGTTACCTGGTCCACCTGGATCGCTCTCTGGGTCCTCTCCAGTGCTATCATGTAGGTCTTCTGGAGCCACTTGGGGATGGCTTCCTTAAACCACTGGTGGAAGTCAGTCAGAGCAAGGATGCCATCCCTGGGAATACAGACAAAAGACGGGTTTCTGTGCTGCAGCAGAACCAAGACACGAGCCTACACATTCCACTGTCACTAAGACCTGAAAAATACCTGGCTCACAGAGAAGGCAGCGTTCACAGCACATACCGCACAGCTGCCCACCTGGCAACACAGGACAGAGATCCATAGGCTGGCAGAAGAGCAGCCTAAAGTATTATCTGAGCCAGGTTTGTAGCTACCTCTGCCTCCCAGAACCCCACTTGTCTATATCCAGAGCTCTAGCTCTCTGAAGACCCGTTCAGCATCATGCCTGAAGCGTGGCAGGTCCAGGTTACATTAAACCCCCTACATGGTTTGGTGTTTATGATGTCACTGCACTAATCTAAAGCGACAGGTGGCTGGGCCAGTGAACCTTCTGATTCCACTCAAATCTACTCCAATTGGCCCAGCAGAAAGTCAGCCACTGATGTGGTCCCAACCCCTTCAATTTCCCTGGTGCTGCTAATGTTGATCTCGCTCTATGTGACTGGACTATGAGCTGAGCCTGGCTCAGGTGGGTCAGTACCTCTTGAACAGGAAGCTCTTCATCCGATAAAGCTCCTGCAGGCTTATGTAGAGCTGGAAAAGGCTCTCTGCTGTGAGTTGGGACATGCTGCTGTCAATCTCACTCAGCTCTTCCTTGACATGACATGACACCTGCAGGGAATAGGAACCGCAGGGAAGGAGGGTTAATAAGAATGCATCTATGAATGCTTGTCCTGCAATGGGATCAGGGAAAGGAAATGTGCCATCCCAATTAGCTGATACAACACACTTTCCTCTTGTCTGATGTATAAGTTGGGGACACCAGCTGTTTGAGGGCTTGGGGGGTTCAGATAATACAGCCAAAACCTGTTTAGCCCCATTTTATGGGCCCAGAGAATTTCAGCGACTCGGTTAATTTACAGACTTGCAACTGACTCAGTTGCAAAGCCAGGAATCAAAACCAGGAATCGCTACTCCTTTGCTTTAGCCATTAGGCTGCACTGCCTAAATGTGCCTTTCTTAAACTCCTGGCTAGTCCCAGTGTCCAGGCCTCTGGGGCTGGGGACAGGATTAGTCCCTCCCTCACAACCCAAGGATGCCCACAGTCCCATATCCAGGGTTTGGAATACAAAGGATTCTCCACCACTAGTGAGCTCTTCCCATGAGCCCTTGAGGAGCACATGGAGTGCGGGGGGCACCTCAGATTATTCCCTTCCTCTGACAGCTGGCTAAGTGCCTCGGCATTGCTTTATTCTCTGCTGCTCTGACTGGAGAGCCTGGAACACCCGCTCACCAGCTCCTGCAGCTCCAGGTAGGTAATGAAGAAGAGATCCACATTCACAGTGCTGCAGGGGAGAAACAGGAGGTCAGGAATCTGCCGGATACAACTCACTGACCAACCTGTCAAAGCCAGTGCAATTAACCCTCTCCCACCCGAGCCCTTTGACGTGAACTAGAGTGACAAGAAGCTACAAAACTAAAACAATCTGAAAGACTCCAGCCGGCAGAGCCAATAATGCTGGAAAGCTAGGATATCTGTAGTTAACCTCTGCTCCCTAAACAACAGGCAACTGTAGTACATAACGAACCATGAGGGAATTTTTCCCGGGGCTTTCCAATCTCATACTTGGTGTCATAATCTGTTTATATTTACAGATGTTCTTTTGCAGCTGGGAAATGTGCTTTGGAGCTGTCGCCTTCAGTACCCTAAGCAAAGCTGCTGACAGAGCATGGGGTAGATGCTGGGGAGGGGAATGGGGGAACCATCTACCTACTTGGTGAAAAATTTGTTCCAGGTTTTGTGGCATTGTTTGAGATCCCCGTTCACCTCCACGAGAAGCTTGACCAGTGCTTTCCCATTCTCCTCCATGGTCTACAAAGGGAAGGACGGAAAGTTACGCCTGGGTTTTGGTGCCAAGTGATCTATCAACATATCTAGCGACAGCCCGCACCACTGTGGTATCTGAGCAGCTCACAGATTTACCTTCCCCATGCCCCTTCAAAGGTAGGGATATATCATTACCCCATTGGGGAACTAATGCACAGAAAGCGGTGAAGTAACTTTCCCCAGATCACACAGGAAATACGTTAGCAGGGCTGGGCATTGAACCCAGATCTCCACCATGCTAGTACAGTGCCTTAACCACAGGCCATGCTGCCAAGTGAAGGTGGGACATTCTTTGGGTGGCTGCTTCATTCCGGGTTATAATGGGAGATGTGCCAAGCTAGCAGGAGTGACCTGCTCAGACTGACACACAGGAAGGGAGGGGACCGGAGGTGAATGGCAACTGTTCATTTCTTCTTATGGGGACAGTTGGTTGCCTTCTACCCCAGCTGCAGGTGCTCAGCACCTCTGAAAATTGGGCTCAAGGTGTCTTTTGGGCATCCAAAAATCACTGCCCCCTTCTGAAAATTGTGGCCTGAGAAAGCGTCACCTCCCTCTTCCTACCCAAACAGCCCCTCAGCCTGGCCCAGCAAACTGGTGTATGAATGAAAGGGGGATCTGACCTTTACCATTGGCTTCAGGTGCTGCTTCTGCATACAAAACCATTCAGTGGTTCCTGACTGGAAGAGAGCGGGACACAGAATGAAGGGAGAGAAGCAGGAGCTGCAGAGACAACCCAGCCACCCCATTCATCCAGGCACAACAGACACAACAGCACAACGCCTTCATTGTGACTCAGGGTTGAACGCAGGTCAGGCTAGCAGCCCAGAGACACACAGCATGGCGGGGAGCGGGACTCAGCTCACCATCCAGGCTCCATCTCTCACCCTGAGCAGGCAGCATGCTCAGTCCTGGAGGGAAAGGAGCGCCTTGCACTTCTCTAGAGGAGACCCACTGGGCAGTCAAAGGCACAGCGCAGAAAAGCTTTGGAAACGCTACCTCTGCCCCCTCTGCTGGAATCAGGGTCAGAACTCAAGGCCTTTGCACGTTGGCATAAGGGAAGGGACAATGCTCGTGGCTCCAGGAGGAAGTCAGAGGAACCCCTATGGCAGCGGTTCTCAACCTGTTTACCAGTGTGGACCACATATGCAGCTCTCTATGTATTATGTGGGCTGCATCCACACAAAATACATATATACTACCTGTATGTTCCTGAGGATGGTCACATAGGCCATACCTGTGTACTGATTGGGCCGCAAGCAGCCTGTGGGCTGCGAGTTGAGAACCACTGCCCTGTGGGTTGGGGGAGGAGAGAGCACAGAGGTTGTACTGTACCTTGAGAGCCTCCATCACCATCTGCTGAAGGTTAGGGGTCAGAGTACAAAGTTCTTGGAAGGCTTTCATTTTACACATCTGGACCAGGACCCTGTGAAATGAGAATCATTGCTAAGCCACAGCACAACCCAAAGAGCTTCAGAAATGAGAGCCTTGCCACCAGCAACATCTCCCCATGCACACTTTCCTCTATAGAGCTTCCTTTAATGAGAGGCTCCCTATAAGTTATGGCCTAGCTGCCAGGTCACAGACAGAGGGGCAGACATATTCCTATGCTGGCAGCTTGGGAGAGAACCAAATGCTAAGACTTCTTCATCAGGGCTCTGAACTTGGCAGGACTTATGGTCCAGAGCCCAAATTCACCTCCCACAAAGTGAGAAATATCTTGGGGCAGGAGAGGTTACAGGGGACGGTTTGGAGTTAAAACAACAAACAAAAGCCATCACAGTGTGACAGCTGCCCTCATGGCCAACATACCAGGGGATGAACTGCTGACCTACAGAACTAAAAGCATGAGCTGCTACAGGTTGCGCTAAAGAACCAAACCTCCCTAGGGGGTCTATAACAGACTCATCTCTCCCCGCCAGAGGGACCTGTAACAGGAATTGACCAGCGGGGGTGGGGTGTTACATAAACTCCCAGAGAAAAGTGTTATCCCATAAAATAAAGGCCTCTATTTAACCCAGTCAATGCACGCCCATAAGGGAATACTCCCTAGGCATCAGAAGAAAAAATGACAAGATGCCAGTTTAGAATGGGGGAGGTCCCTTGATGTCTGTCTACTTCCTTAGGGGACAGACCCACCAGGGAAAGGCAGAGGAGAGGAGACAACAAAGGGAGCTGGGAATGGAAGTGGGAGAGAGGTTTTCCTGTAGAACAGTCTCCTCGGGGGAAGTAATAGAAGCTCCAATACGCGGGGTGTCAAAAGGTAGACTGGATAATGTCACATAGGGAACAATCCCACACTAGCCCCAGGAGGATGGGTGGGGCCCTGTTTCTTCTCCAATTGACATTATTCTGTTTATGAAGCATTGCAGCTGGCTGACCTGAGCAATAACTGTAGCCTGTTTGTGGACTCAGGGGCAGAGAGAGGGAAGACGATGCGGTACTTCCGGAGGAGAGAGATTCCATAGGCCAGCAAGGACTGGAAAGATTCGGCCAGCTCTGCTTTCTGGGAAGAAGAAACGGAAGATGCATCAGCAGCAACAGTGACTCTGTGATGGTCACAGCTCCTCAGGTGGACGACGCCTATCCCCAGCCAACATGGCCTCACTACTGAGGGGGGCTATTTCTGGATTTTGCAACATGCCTCTGCCTCCAAAACCATTTTAAGAATTATCTGCCCCACTGTAAAGGGAAGCACGAAGGAATGCCAGCCCTTCTAGGGAGACGCTGAAATTACTCCCAGCAGCCTCTGGGAAGTGAGAGGGAAAAGCAAAACTGAATCACCTCGAACTGATTTCTAGACTGCTTTAGGATCTTAAAAACCATCTAGATGCTTGAGGCATTGGTAGAGACGCCCTAGTTAAGGCTGAGGTGAGTTTTGCATTTAAAGCAGGGATTTAACCCCACCATAACGAAAAATACAGCAACGGCGAGACGTTCCCAGGCAGGGAACACGGACACAATTTAAGACCCTGAGCGTGACCTGATAGCCAGAGGTCTGTCTCAATGGGGCCAGAACTGGGCGAGCAGACAGGCAAGCTGGACACACAGACGGTGTTATTTGTAGTTTTTGACTGGAATTGAACCACGGAATGGGTATAGAACAGTCAGCAGCAGTGCAAGCTTCCACTCCAGTGGGCCTCAGCAAATCGCCCCCTTCGGGGAGAGGGCAGCACAATCTCCATGGCCCATTCCCGGGTCGGCCTGTAAAGAGGTGGCCAACAAGGGTACCGGGTACCATGGTGGGGGCAGTTTCCGTGGGAACACCAGTCCTCTGTGGGCGGGACTGGGAGCCACCAATGAGGAGTTGCCAGATGGTAAAGATCTTCAGCCACTGCTGGGTTTGAACCAGTGACCTCGAGGTGAAGGACTCTCAGCCCATTACCAGTCCCAGCTTCACCGAAGGTAGGGTAACAAAGTCTCTCACCCAGGGCAAGGGACTCCATTTGTAGAATGGCTCCCCAGCATGTCCACCACTTAACAAGCCCAGCTGGTTGGGGTGAAATCCTACCCCAAAGGCTCAGACCCTACAGCTGGTTCGAGGAGAGCCTAGAGCCAGGTTTTTTAGCATGATCTGTTCCCTGCAAAGGAAACCGCTAAGAAACGCCATCCTTCTAGGAAGGTGCTGAAGCTACTCACAGAAGCCAAAGGGAAGAGCAACCCAGAACCACCTCAATCCGATTTCTAGATTACGACATGATCTTAAAGACAGTCTGTATTATGAGGCGTCAGCAGTGGCTCCTTAGCCCATCGTCAGGTTTTTCACCTAGCTGGCACAGGCCAGGAACTCCTTCTGCAGGGGGCTCCCACCCGAGCAGCACCAATTTGCGGCGCTTCTCAACCAGCCAACGAGGAGCGGAGAGAGGTGACATGAAGAGGGTCCCTTGGCTGTCGTGGCTTATTGGCGGCTGTCCCCGGCTCCCCGGATCTCTGCCCCAAGATTGGCTGTGGTGTCTGCTCATACCTGCTCAGATCGCAGCCTTTCCTGGATCCACTGGTACTCGATGCTGGTGATCTGGTGGAGCAGGCAGGTGCAGTTAAACTCTAAGCTCTGGTAGAGTTTGCTGTAAGCCAGCCACTGGCTGCAGTGAAAGGGAAAGAGACACACTCTGAGACTGGGGGCGCGTAGGCCAGGCCCAGTACCCTCCTCAGGTAGGAACACGTTCTTATTACCCCAGGAGGTCAGAATCAGCCACTCCCCAAGACTCGCTCAGGCCCAGAGCTCCTGCCCTGCCTCATCCCATTCCAAAGCTCAGTCCTGCAGCCACAGTGTTCACGTGGAGGGAAAGAGAGGGGTGGGGGAAGGGAAAACAGCTTGGGGTAGTGGTAGTGAGAGGTGAGTTCCCCCCCGCCGATCTCCACCTGCCCCAACCCGTAGCGATGGCCGTGTCTGCAGCGTTAGAAGAATCAGGGGCTTCCTGGCGCATGCTCACAGGCAAGATGGTGATGGAGAGAATCCCAATAGTTCTGCTGCCATAAACATCCAGGGAGAGCATGACCCGGGGTGCAGGCAGTGACGTATGTCTAGAGCGATGCACGAGGCAGAAGTGACCAAACTTATGGAGAAGAGCAAGGAAGTCAGACTACTGACCCTACCATAGACAGCAGGTGTGGGCATCTGCAGTTCAACAATAATAATATTAATGCTATACTTTGTACTTCCATAGCGCTTGTTATCTGGGGATCTCAAAGCACATCACTAAGCATAGTCTGGCTTCACATGCCTGCAAAATAGGGCCATTTTTTACAAACAAAAGCACAGAGGGGTTAAAGGACTTGCCCAAGGTCCCCCAGAATCAGTGGCAGAGCTGGAAAGAGAACCCAGGTCTCTTAATTCCCAGACGCCGTTGCCATAATCATTACACAACACTGGCCGAGTGCATGTGGTACTTACGCCATGACCTGGTGAAAGTCAGACAGGTCTTTCTGAGCTGCGTGCAGGTACAGGATCGTTCTGGCATGTTTACTCAGCTCCCCATTCCAGGAAGTACTCCCAGCCTGTACAGGGAAGGAAAGAGCGAGAGAGTTAATCCTGCCTCGCGGAAGAGAAGAGAGAAGAGTCTCCTCGAGCCAGCCATAGAATTTGGATCCTCCTGTGATTTGTACTTGGTTTTCATTTGCCCCACCTCCTCTCTCAAGCTCTAGAATGGGCCCTTCACATGCCACATGGTCATTACACCAGCCCAGGCAAATACCCACATGGTTCAGACACAGGGATGAGCTTACTGGAAAGCTAATGGAAAGTGCTGGGTCAAGCAGTTGTTGCACGAGTGAGGAACAGGGCTGTAGATCTGCCGGCACTGGTCCAGGTTTCATGTCATCTCACACAATCGCCATAGAAACCAAGGTCTTTTAATGGAGACGTCAAAGGAAGGCGCCCTTCTGCCTGTCCCAGGTGGACGTTAAAGATCCCAGTGTGCTACGCAGCATGTCCCTTCTCAGTAACACAGGCTGTTGTGTTGGATGCCTGCACCATTGGGGGTAACTCATTGCTTTGGAAAGTCTCTTGGGATACACCCAAAGGCTCTGAAGAGAGCCACAATCTGAGCCATCTGCACTGCAGCATGAAATTCAATCCTCACCCAGCTCCCACCAGCTTCCCTGACCCTTGCTGGCTTCACATGTACCTGGTGCTGCAGGATCTCATAGAGCACTATCTGCTGCAACAGGTGGCGATGGACGGTGTAACTCGGCTGGGTCTTGCTCAGAGAGGTGGCCCTCTGAAAAGAGAAACAAAAGCGGGGAGACGGCTCAGAGTGTGAGATGGAAGAGAGCACGTCTCCACAGGACACCCAACATCCAAGCCATCAGACAAACCTGGAGTCGGATTTAGAGGTCCCTTATTTAATGGCAGGACTTTGGGTTCATGTCCAAGCAACCACAACCTTTGTGAGAGGTTTGACACTGCCTCCTGGAAGAGTTAAACCAAGTGCCCTCGTTTTCAGGGTAATTAATCACCAGGCACCACTGATGCTGAGGCATAGACCTTTATCATGGGAGGACCCATCGAGATGCTAGAGAGTGCCCAAGAGAAAATGGAACAAATAGGATACAAGAGAATGAATTCCCCACTCCTCATCACTACAGCAGCCTGTGGGCCTTCTACACCTCTGAAACCTCCAGAGCAGCAACAGGACCGGACCCGCTGATATAGCCCTGGCAAGCAACCCACAAACCTAGCGTTTAACCTCCTCCCTTCACGAAAAGCTCCTCCTACCTTCTTGTGAGTCATCAGGAACTGCAAGTGGCACTGCCCTCGGTTGGGGTAGGTTTCTGTCCGGGGCTCCAGGTTGTACCATTCGTCAGTCCTGCAATGCAGGTCCTGTAGATAGACAGACAGATGGATAGTTGTCAAACACTGAAGCGTCAGCGATAGGGGGATGCCCATTCAGAGAATAGGATCCATCATATTAATATGGCAGGAATTTGTAATATTAGACAATTAACCTGTATACTTAATTTAAAAAATAATCCATGGGCTGGAGGCACTTTTCCTTATTTCCTAATTTAGTCTCATTTTTCAATACAAAATCCACCAGCAGCAAAACTGTTGTACATCTCAGCACTGGTCACGACCAATAAGTCTTTGCTTATTTACGATATAGCTGAGAATTACCTTGGCCTGAGGGATAGCTGACTATCTTGCGAAGGCCAGCAGCCCTGGTTAAGCATTAGTTCCTGAAGGAAGTATGGTCTATTGGTGAGAGCAATGGGCTCAGGAGACCGGGGTTCTATTACTGGCCCTGCAGTTGATTGGCTCTGCAGCCCTCACTTTACCTTTCTGTCACATGCTGCCCAACCCCTGTGAGATTTAATTAATGCTTGTGACATGCTTTGAGATGCTCAGAGGAAAGATGCTACAGAACAACAGAGCATTATAAGCCTACATCTCCATGCTCACCTGCAAGCGAAGAACCAAGTTCCCAAGGAAGTCATCCTGCCCTTTGTCTTTCCGAGCATCCTTAAACATCCTGGAAAGGAAAATATAAATCAGCTGGGTGAAATGAGAAAATCTTTTCCCAGGAATGTAAAACATCTATAGGCTGTGCAAGGCACTGGAGGGGCCAATCCTGCACTGGGCCAGGAGATGGGTGTGACTGGAGAGAACGTAAGAATGTACGGATGGTCTGACCCAGAATAGTCAATGGTCCATCTAGCCCAGTATCCTTTCTTCTCACAGTGGCCAATGCCAGGTGCTTCAGAGGGAATGAACAGAACAGGGAAGTTATCAAGTGATCCATCCCCTGTCATGAAGTCCTAACTTCTGGTAGTCACTGGTTTACAGACACCCGGGACATGGGGTCGCGTCCCTGACCATGCTGGCTAATAGCCATTAATGGACCTATTTTCCATGAAGTTATTTAATTTTTTTTTTAACCCAGTTATACTTTTGGCCTTCACAACATCCCCTGGCAAAGAGTTCCATTGATTGACTGTGTGTTGTGTGAAGAAATACTTCCTTATGTTTTTTAAACCTGCTATTAATTTAATTGGATGATCGCTGGTTCTTGAGTTATGAGAAAGGGTAAAGAATACTTCCCCCTATTCACTTTCTCCACCCCAGGCATGATTTTATAGCCCTCTATCACATCCCCCCTTAGTCATCTCTTTTCTAAGCTGAACAATCCCAGGCTTTATTAATCTCTCCTCATATGGAAGCTGTTCATTTTTGTTGCCCGTCTCCCTCTTGCTTCTATGGTTCTGCAAAACTCTCTCTCCTTCACCTGGGAGTCTCAGCACCAATAATTAAGTGACCTGCTAAACTAGGGAAGCAAATGATAGGGCACTTTATCAGCTTCTCCTTGTCAACAATGGTGGATGCAAAGTGCCTGCAGAGCCAGAAACAGCCTGGATGTAGAGATCACAAACACTCAGTGGTGGTTGATACTCATTTTCCATTCCAATATTATACAAACTGAACAATTTAATATGTAGACAAGCTGTGGCCCAAGACGTGAGCCCCTGGTCCTCCAGGTGCCCCTGGAAGTCAGGAATTTGGAGCCACTGGCTCTATGTCACTACGGGCATGCCTACACCACACGCTGGCTGGCTGCCTTTGCCCAACCCCCCCTATAATCCACAGTGAAAGCTCTCAAATGTGCATCTAGGGAGCATTGTACCCAAAGACGCCGACTCCTTGGGTACGCTGGGGCTGGAGCACCCGCAAGGAAAAAAGGTGGGTGCTGAACACCCAGTGGCAGCCCTCCCCCCCGCAGCGTCCCCCACTAGTGGGCCCTGCCGATCAGTGCCTCCCAACTCTTTATCTGTGCCTCCCGCCCACCACGATCAGCTGTTTCGCAGCATGCAGGAGGCTCTGAGGCGGGGGGGGGGAGGAGCCAGGACGCAGCGTGCTCGGGGGGGAGGGGGCGGAACGAGGCAGGAAGAGGTGGGGTGGGGGTGGGAAGAGGTGGGGCAGGGCCTTGGGGGCAGGGGTGGATGGAGGCAGGGCCGGGGGCAGAGCTGGGGGTCGAGCACCCCTTAGCACATTGGAAAGTCGGTGCCTGTGATTGTAGGGAGCTTGAGTGCCCATCTTTGAGGTATGGAGCAGAGTGTGTGTTGAGCCCTGACCTGCCCCCTGACAGACCCATGGCTTGTCCTAGGGTTGGGAGGGGCAGAAGTGAGCAGCATGCCGAGCCAGAAGAGCCTCAGCTTAAGGTGTGGGAGGGCTAAAGCCATTGCTACAAAGGGGTCCAGGGAAGACAGACAAGTTCTCCCACAACACACCACAAAACAATTCTTAGAGAGGCTCCAATTGGTGAGGAGCCATGAACTCTGGGATACACCCCCAGAAATCCTTGTTCCCTCCCAGCCACAGGTAGCTGCCGCACCAATGTGGGCACAGCTAACCAGGCCTGGGTTCTGCGGCCGTGTGGACTCTCAGACAGGACCGGCTCCAGGCACCAGCGTTCCAGGCAGGTGCTTGGGGCGGCAGTCAGAAAGGGGCGGCAGTGTTTCCGCCGCGGCGGCCCCTCTGTCCCACCGGCTGTGGCGGCAATTCGGCGACAGCTCCTCTGTTCCGCTGGCCGTGGCGGCAATTCGGCGACAGCTTCTCCCTTTTGCCGTCCGCGGCGGAAGTTTTTTTCACTGCTTGGGCTGGCAAAACCTGTAGAGCCGGCCCTGCTCTCAGAGCAGGGTCGGCCAACCCGCACCCACATGAGCCAGGACACGTGGCACACCTGTCACAGAGACATGCCCTGCATGACAGCAGAACTGTGAGTGGGAAGAGGAGGCTGTGGCCCAGCCAGGAGTTCATCACCGACCAGAGTCCTTGCCACATCCAAAATTCATCTCCCTGTGCCCTGGTCTCTTGAGGTCTGCACGCTGGGTCTCTTTAGTCCAGTACAGCAGACACGAGGATCCCAGGCTGGAGTACATCAGGCCCATCATTGAGGTGACCTATTTGGTGTTGGGCTGGGCAAGGGAAGTATCTGCATCTCTCTTTAAGGACATTCCTGGTACATCTCCAGCGGAGTGCCATGCTCAGAGGAGGCTGCCCATTCTAGCCACCTTTGTAGAGATTACACAGACCCAGGGCACAGGGGTTGGGGCGAACGCATACCTGTCTTTATTTCCTTGTCCCTCAGACGCCTCCCTCCTTCCTATAACCTTTAAACATTACTGCTGCAGATAAGGATTAACTAGCGTGAAGAACAGGACACCGGCGTCAAAGAGAAAATCTCCCCAGGAGGGGATGGCGAGCGTTTGACAGAGCTGCTCCCATGCCTGCAGCACAGCAGAGCGAAGGTCTGATGCCCAGCCGGGGAGCCTCCCAAGCGCATGCTGAACAAGGACCTCACAGCGCTGCACTCAGAGCAGCACTCAAGCTGAGCGCGTGCACTGCTAACAGAGCGGGGTGACTGACAGCCCGTCCACCCACTCCCCAGTACCAACCTCTTCAGGCCATGGAGATCTGTCAGCCCTCCCAGCTTATGCCGCATGGATTCCTCCACGTCCAAGTCCCTGCCGGGGAGAGTCAGAAACACAGCAGGTGAGGAGGGGGAACATTGAAAACCGCATTGTTAATGTTCGTTTGCCAGGGGAGCCGCAGGATCAAAGTCAGGACTAAGGGAGAGGCCCCCAACACACGGACTCCACCGGGCCAGAAGGGGGGAAATAATCAGGTGTTCAGGGAGGAGAGATGATGCTCAGATACAGTGTAGTGCTGGGGGCGGTATAAAACCCTGTCGAGCTAGACGCGATTTCTTGCAGCAATTGTGAAAGGGAGTCTCGACTCCCCACTCCCGCCCCACCTCCAAGGCAACACTCATCCGCCATAAAGAAGGCAAAAGGGCACAAGCCCCAGTTTGACAACGCCTGTGCACATCACCTTTGTAGAGATTACACAGACCCAGGGCAGAGGGATAGGGGTGAACGCACACCCGTCTTTATTTCCTTGTCCCTCAGACGCCTCCCTCCTTCCTATAACCTTGACATAGAAATTCAGGGCTGGAGTCTCTGTTGCCTTGCACCTCGTGTAACCCTTTCCACCTGTGCAAAGTGACTGCAGAATGCAACTCCTCTGATCCAATGGCACAGCGCACTCACTTTCCACAGGTGGAAAGGACAGTGTGCAGCCATTGGCAGTGGAGGACTGGGCCCCGTGTACATTAGCTGGGGTTCCACACAGGGATCTGTTAGGGTGCAGGCTGCAGGAGCAGTGCTCTCAGAGCCCTGTCTCAGAGCAGGATCTCTGCACACAGACCGGTCTTGAGTTTTCAGCCCCAAGCTGGCATGGGTGCGTACGCTCCATCACACTCACCACATGTCCAGATGGAAGCTGGAATTTGCTTCATCATTAAACTCCCTGCAGGATACAGAATCAGAAGACGTTACTCCTGGGATTTCGAGAGGATTTCCACTCAGGCCACAAATATTAGGAAGGGATGGCGAAGGAGAGAGAGATTAAAGGCAGGGAGCCCCCACGCCACAAGCTAGAAACAGTGTAGGCCTGGGGTGTAGCTTTGTGTCAATAAAGAAGACGAGTCAGGCCCCTGGAAACCCTGGTTATTACAACTGGACTGTCACAATTGCTCTCTAGTTCACTCGGGGCACTCCCAGGTTTATGGGTGGTCAATATGTTTCAGGTGCTCAGTTTGTGTTCTGATTCCTAGAGTGGTGGCAGGCCTTTCACTGGACTACCTTCAGATTTTTCTGGCTTGCCCAAGAATACCAGAAAGAGAAGCCCCCGGGCTGACAAATATGGAAGACACAGGGCAAAATTATTCATAGAAGATCCAAGGAAGTCTAATCCCTGCAATAGACCTGGCCTGCTAGACAAGAGCCAGATACCCACTGAGGTGTATCAACTGCAAAAATTAAAAAAAAATACCCCACATCAGCTGGTCTCAGAGCCCAGGTCTACAGACTTGGGTTCATGGGGCTTGTGCTACAGTGCTAAAAATAGCCCAGTCCCGTCGCTGGGCCTCAGAGCCTGAGCTCCAGCCAGAGCAGGAATGTCTATATGGGCTGTTTTCAGTGCCGGAGCGTGAGCCCAAGTCCTTAGAGCCAGGCTGTGAGACTCGTTGCCAGGGGTGTTTTGGTTTTGCAGTGTAGACATAACCTGAGAGATCATTGCACCTCACTTTTCCACTGTCTCCAATTTCTTTACCAGGCTAAAACAACACAGGAGCTTCTGCTCTTTCCAACAAGCAGAGGCCTGTGTTTATAGCACAGCATCCTGGCTTGTAATCCTGCCAGTCCCCCCAGCCCCTCACAAACTACTAGCAATGTTACCTCCCAGTTTATGTCAATCACAAAAACCAAACTTTGGACCTAGATTCCTTGCCAGTGGTCCTTGCAAGCAGAAAGGAAACAGCTGTGGCAGCAGAGAAGTGAAAGGAAGGGACAACGGGGAGACCTACAGTATAAATGTCTCATTCCACACAGGAGTGAGAGTTTGATTTATGACTTGGGTGCGGTGTGTCTGGTCTTCGGGGATCATGTCTTTCACCACAGCCTTTAATGGCTTCTTGTTCTCCAGATGGGAGCTGCTGTCGCTGGAAGGCTCCTGTCTCTTTGATTCTATCCCCAGCAGGCAGTATGGGTCGCTGAACCCTGCAACCACAAGGCATAAAAAAAATAAAATTTCCTCCAACAGAATTATCTATTGTGACAAAATGCAACACCCAGCCTTTGTGCCAAGGTCCGCCTGCCTCTTGGGGGAATGGACAATGATAACAATACTTTGCACTAGGCGCCTTCAATCTGAGGAGCTCAAAGCGCTTCACAAACATTAATTAATCCTCACATCACATCTTAAAAATAGGGAAACCAAGGCACAGATGGGTGACCAACTTGCCCAAGGTGAGACAGCGGATGTAAGAACAGAACCCAGATCTCCTGGCCCAGTCCCCTGCTCTGATCAGGAACATATATATATGTGTCATACATCTATTCACACTCACCACTGACATCTTTACCCAGAATGTCTTTGGCTTGCTTCACAGTCACTTTCAGACAAAAAATTGGTTTCTGGAATTAAAAAATAAACAAAAAACAACTCATCTCACCTGAAGGAAAAATCTCCATCATACACAGAAGTGACTGTGTGTTAGATTTATTTGTAAACCCCATGATAAAACAAGGAAGCAGCACACACTGTTTCAATATTGCCAACCCCACGCACTCAAATACCAGGCCCCAAAAAATCATGAGAAAATGGCTGAGAAAAGATCTTTTAAAAATAATAAATGTGGAGGTTGGGATTTTTTAATTTGCATTCTGTTTTTTTTAGCTTTTATGGAGCACTCAGGTCATATTTCCAGGACTGGAAACTTACTTAAAAAAAAAAGAAAGAAAGCGGATTCTCACATAATCATGTGACTCCAGAAGCTGAGAGTTTAAGGAAAACATCAAGCATCTCTCTCCCCTTGCTTCCTCTCTGTACACATCTGCCCGCTGCCATTTCCAATTCAGCTTTTGTGGCAATCCCCCTCTCGCTAAGCCCTCCCCTCCTTGGGGAGATGATGTACAGCAGCCCCTTCAGAGCAGTGTAGGAAATGCAACTGACCATTGTCCAAGCAGTGAAACTGACCATATGTTGTGCTGTCAAACGCACAAAGTACTGTAAATAAGCAGAGGCCTGTCTTTATAGCACAACCTCCTGACCTGCCAGTCCTCTTCAACCACGAGCACACAATACCTTCCAGACTGCATCAATCATGAAGACCAAAGTTTGGACCTAAATGAGCAGCAGGGTCACAATGTGTTCAGAAGCTGACAGTGTCCCTTTTAAGGATGCAATTGGAAAGTTGCAGACAGACAGATCCCATCAGCACCACACATGACTCTCTGTAGCTATCTCTTTTTGCTGTCAGAGGTCAGTGCTGAGAGAGGTGGCAAAGTTCTCTCAAGAAACAAAAACCAAACCCAACCAACAATACTTTCAACTGCTTCTGAGCCCTGATCCTCTCCCACCTTTGCACAGAGGGGAACAAATTAGTCACTGAACTTCCGAGGGACTAAAGAGGAAGTTGTTTAGTCACCTTTTCCATCCATGGGAGCTGTGGAAATATGCGGTAGAGTGAGCAAGGCCAAAGGAAACATCTGAGGACAAGGCACTTATGGGAAATATTGCCCCCAACCCCTCAGCTCCAGGCCAGGTGCACAGAGGGTCTCTCTCCTCCAGAATCCACTCCCGCCCATGTGGGCAGCAGAGCTGGCTCCTGACAGTGCTGCTGTTTGCCACTAGGCTGCATTCTGTAATTCCACTAAGCAGCACTGAGTGGGCGGGAACATACCCCATGAGTATGTCGACCCTGAAGCTGGATATGTAACTTCCAGCTCAGGCAGACGTACTCACGCTAGCTTTCATTGAGCTAGCAGGCTAAAAATAGAAGTGTAGCTGCCAGGGCTCAGAGAGTGGGATGGGCTAGGGTCCCAGGCAGGATTGTATGAAGTGAGGCCAGCCCATCCTGCCGCCCACACTGCCAGAGCTACACTTCTGCTTTTAGCACGCTAGCTCGTTGACAGCTAGTGCACAAACATCTTCCTCAGCTGGAAATTTCACCTCCAGTTCCCACGCAGTCGTTCCCACAGTCTGGCTCCTACCGCCTTTTCGTAACTGGTCTTTCAGCCCCACAGACTTTGCAGAGGGGACAAAGGCTGACAGGTGGGGGATCATCCCATATAAGTCACCTACCCCTTTCCAGAACCTCACCCTGGCTGGTTGGTTTCCCTCCTCGCTCCCCAAAACATAAGGCTTTAATCTGGATTTGATAGCAATGACTGTCAGTATCGAAGGACGAACTTGGATTATGGATAGTCCACCTGGGCCTTAGCTAACCAGCTGCTGTCCTACCATTAAATAGGGCACAGGATTTAGGACCAATCCTTGGGGATATCCATATTAAACATACCTCTGGCATTGACCTAGCCCTCTGTGTTGTTCCACATAACTGAAGCACTGAGGTCAGTAGCATGTGTGCAAGCTGTAGATACACACGGCCATGTCACCTGAACGTTACCACTCTGTAGAATGAGGAATACTTTGAGTTCTTGCTACAGACGCATTGCCCTGGGGTGGGCACACACTTAAGAGACGATGCCTGTATCTATCACACATTCATGTACACACATGGGCTGACCCTGCTGAGCTCAGTGGGAGTTTTAGAGGGGCTAGGCCCACAGGGGGAAGTGACCCAGCACAAATTCTGCTGGCATTGAAGTTGTCTGCGGAATAGAAATATACGGAGCCTGCCCCTACTTATGGGTGGTGTGATCTGGGGGAGACGGTCAGACTTTACCTCCAACTCTCTGACCCGCTGCAGTATAACGTGATGCTCCTCTGGGTCCATGCTGAAGGCCTGTTTTAAATATTACAGAAGATATAGTGTTGGCTTTATAACAATGGTACCTGGAATACATCCAAGGGCTTCCCACTACTCCCTTCCTCTGGGAGCCAGCTGGCTCTCATGAAGGGTTTGATGGGAAAGGATAGAACAGCTTAAACTAAGCCTAATCCAGACCCAGACTCATGAACACTTGGGTGCAGTCCACACAGACTTCCTAGCCTGTCCATCCCCTAGATAAAGGCTTCTTCCCAGCCAGACTGCTCCTCTCAGCTGCACTTCCGCCCCCAGCTGCTGTGCAGACTCTGCTGCCCTTCCCCTTCACCATTATTTTCTTCCCAGACCCAGGTCCCCGACCCTTCTGCAGCCCTGCTCAAGCGGCTGGCTGGTGTGACTCAGAGTTGTCCTGTGCTGCTGACTGCTGCTCTGACTATGACTCATGCCTGTGTCCAGCAGACCCCCTCTAACTGCAGGAGCTCAGAGAAAAGATTCATGCCTTATTCCGTCTCTGCAGAGCAGCCCCGGCAGCTGCGGGGATCTGAAATATGGAGAGAAGAACTCCCGCTCAGTGTGGGACAGAGGAAACTCCAGGGCTAGGGGCATGGAGGTGGCCTCTTCCCAATGTGGGATTGAGGGAGTTTGGGGGGCGAGAGGTACAGAGAGAGGATAGCAAGAGGACAGGAACGTAGGGCAGGGTTTCAAGGAGCTGCAGGACAGGCACTCTCCCTTGACCTGGATGGGGATGGGGTTGGGGTTGAACCCAGGGACTGACCTTTTGCACATACTCGTACAATTCATCTGTGTTGGCATCATAGGCGGGTTCGGGCTTGCCCTGGCGGTGCAGGATGGTGTAGAGAACCTCCTCGTACAAGAGATTGAGCTGCAGGGCAAGGGGGTGACAGGTCACAGTCAGCTCCTCCTCTAGACATTGTGTGAGCTAGTCTCCGGCATGCTGGATGAGGTCTTTTCTGGGGTGGGGGTGGTGGAGGGCATACGGATTGTACTCTTAAATGTTTCCTCCACAAAACACAAGGGGAAATGTGTTTGCTCTCCTTTCACAAACTGTGTCTGCTGCCCAGAATAAGCAGCAGGACATACTATCTAGAAAGCCCCTGGCCATGTTATCCCATGCTTCAAATCAAGCCTGTTATATGCCCCCTTCGGCATCGGCTCAGTAGAACACACTTGCTTTCAGGCATACAGACGATGGGCAGCTTGTACAGCAATGCACTTCCCCGCACTTTGCTAACGGGAATAGATGAAGCTGAAGCTGGAGCAGGCTGGTAGCGACTGGACATTGTTATAATCAAACCCAGTTCTAGAGGTGTTTTGTCAACATGGCAATTGCCACTAATTATCCTCTTTGTTGGCAGTCTCCACAGACTAGGGGAACCAGATGTCCCCATTTTATGGGGACAGTCCCGATTTTTGGGTCCTTTTCTTATATAGGCTCCTATTACCCCCCACCCCATCCTGATTTTTCACATTTGCTGTCTGGTCACCCTACAACAGAGGACTAGTACTCAGTAAGGCTGGAACTTGTGCTACGGCACATTGCAGGGAAGCTTGCATTGCTACTGCCTGTCTATATGGATAGAAAAAAGGACGTCCATATGCAGGGCTGCCAACCCTTTTACCAACACTCCACTGATTAAAGAAACAATGCCAGACTCATACCTCTCGCCTGGAAAATCGGTGGGACAGGTCCATCTAGAAGAAACAAGAAAGACAGAGACACGTTTCCGTTCAGTTTTGATGGCATAACAGAACATCTTTTTCCATCAGATGCTTTTTCAGAGAATGCAACAAGGCCAGGGGTGCTTCCTTCTCCTCTCTGCATGCTTTTAAAAACGAAATGTAGATTGTGACAGAAGCATCAACTTCCTCCAATAGCTGTGTTAAGTGCATGAAGCATTGTGGGCCAGGGATTGTATGGTCTTCCCTGGGGTTGGGGGACCACAGCCCTTCAGGTGCTAGGACAGCAGGGCATGATTAGGCAAATTCACTCAGGTTGTAACACCTCCCAAGAGGTACCAACACCCGCAGAGGCTCACATATACTGATTCAAACCAGATTCTCTAGAGAACCAACAGACCAAAAAAGGACTTTTGGATAAATAGCCTGAGTTTAAACTGACTCAGGCCCTGCTTTTGGATCCAGCAGGACAGAAGCTTTTGTCCAAGGGAGGCCCCAATCCTCCCTGGGACAGGTTAGAGGGATGTGACCCATTCTTGGAGGTGCTGTGCAGCCTGAAAATAATCTGATCAGCAGGGAGAGGACACATGACTGCACCCAAGAGAGGTAATGGCCGGGGAGTGAGAAGCCTAAGAAGCCTGAAGCACTGAGGTCAGTAGCATGTGTGCAAGCTATAGATACGCACGGCCATGTCACCTGAACGTTACCACTCTGTAGAATGGGGAATACCTTGAGTTCTTGCTACAGAAGCATTGCCCTGGGGTGGGCACACACTTAAGGGATGATGCCTGTATCTATCACACATTCATGTACACACATGAGCTGACCCTACTGAGCTCAGTGGGAGTTTTACAGGGGCTAGGCCCACAGGGGGAAGTGACCCGGCACAAATTCTGCTGGCATTGCAGGTGTCTGCAGAATAGAAATATACGGAGCCTGCTCCTACTTATGGGTGGTGTGATCTGGGGGAGATGGTCAGACTTTACCTCCAACTCTCTGACCCTCTGCAGTATAACATGATGCTCCTCCGAGTCCATGCTGAAGGCCTGTTTTAAATATGCCTTTGGTACACCATAGAGGGGAAAATACAGGTGCAGGTGCCCTCAACTGTGACAGATTATTTTGGAGACTCAAGAACATGTGTCAAGGTTCCTTCCCCACTCTGAACTCTAGGGGGTTCAGATGTGGGGACCTGCACGAAAAACCCCCTAAGCTTATTTTTACCAGCTTAGGTCAAAACTTCCCTAAGGTACAAACTATTTTACCTTTTGCCCTTGGACTTTATTGCTGCCACCACCAAGCGTCTAACAAATATATAACAGGGAAAGAGCATGCTTGGAAATGTCTTTCCCCCAAAAATCCTCCCAAACCCTACACCCCCTTTCCTGGGGAAGGCTTGATAAAAATCCTCACCAATTTGCATAGGTGAACCAAGACCCAAACCCTTGGATCTTAAGAACAATGAAAAAGCAATCAGGTTCTTAAAAGAATTTTAATTGAAGTAAAAGAATCATCTCTGTAAAAGCAGGATGGTAAATATCTTACAAGGTAATCAGACTCAAAACATACGGAATCCCTCTAGGCAAAACCTTAAGTTACAAAAAGACACAAAAACAGGAATATCCATTCCATTCAGCACAGCTTATTTTATCAGCCATTTAAACAAAACAGAATCTAATGCATATCTAGCTAGCTTACTTACTAAGTTCTAAGACTCCATTCCTGTTCTGTCCCCGGCAAAAGCATCACCCAGACAGACCCAGACCCTTTGTTTTTATTTTTTCCCCCCTCCAGCTTTGAAAGTATCTTGTCTCCTCATTGGTCATTGTGGTCAGGTGCCAGTGAGGTTATCCTAGCTTCTTAACCCTTTACAGGTGAAAGGGTTTTCCTCTGGCCAGGAGGGATTTAAAGGTGTTTACCCTTCCCTTTATATTTATGATAACATGCATAGCCTGTACTTCTAGATCAGCTGTTCTCAACTTTCCAGATTATTGTACCCCTTCCAGGAGTCTGATTTGTCTTGCGTACCCCAAGTTTCATCTCACTTAAAAACTACTTGATTACAAAATCAGACATTAACATACAAAAGTGTCATAGCACACTATTAATGAAATATTGCTTACTTTCTCATTTCATCATATAATTATAAAATAAATTAATTGGAATATATTGTACTTACATTTCAGTGTATGGTACATAGAGCAATCCAAACAAGTCATTGTATGAAATTTTAGCTTGTACTGGCTTCCTTAGTGTTTTTTATGTAGCCTGTTGTAAAACTAGGCAAATATCTAGATGAGTTGATGTACCCCTGGAAGACCTTGAGAACCACTGGTCTAGATGGTCTATTGGCATAGTTACACATCATCTTGGAAAATCTCGACCCTCCAGGCCTACAGGTGCTATGCACAGAATCATTGCCTAGGGCCAGACAACTAACTGCTCCATCACAGGAGGGCCACCACACAACACAGGGCTTTGAAGAGGTGCCTTTAGGGCTGTACTCACAACTCTTTGAGGGATAGTCATGTGTCTTGACAACAGGCCCTTCACAGGGGGTTCATATCACTGTAAAGGGCCTTGACAGAATACCAACAGAATGTCACAGGCAGATGGGTAGGGCCCATACACAGTGTGTTCCATAATGTCATAGAGCCCGAGCAGTGTGTCCATCAGAGCACCCCTGCACTAAGCACAGCCGTTCAAGCTTTGATAGTCTGGTCTGGAAGGTCTCAGCATAGCGCCTCCACAATGTCAAACGTACGTGGCCAACAGGGCCAGGCAGCAAATCAGAGGCAGGGCAGTCGCGCCTCACCGGAACTCACAAAGACTCAGCCACTTCACACTCAGCGTGGGCAAGTAAACAAGAGCCCTGCACCATACAACTGAAACACCCGGAGAAACAGCAAAATAGAAACTTACACCCTTCCCTCACTGCAGGCAGAACAAACCTTTGTGAGGTTTCAGTTTAACGAGGGATTCGGGCAAGTTCTGCACACCCCAGTAGGGTTTGGTGTAGAGACAAGGCATGTGGTGTCTAAGAAAATACCCCTCCCGCTTGGCATCTGTACTGTGCAGCACTTTCCCTATCAGGGTTGCTCCAGCCAATGGATTTATTTCAAGGGGGCAGTGGGAGCCACTTGGAGGGGAAAGGCAGGTGAAGGGGACTGGGACATACTACCCAACAAGGTCCCATGAATCTCCTAGTCAGCCCCAGCTCATCCCTCCATTCCCCGGTCAGCTCTGCAAGGGGCAGAAGCAGACAGGGGACAGTTAGGGGGTGTGGAGCACATGTAGCTGGGCTCAGTAACCTAACGCAGGTGCAACCACTGGGTATGCAAGGAGAAGGACAGCAGCGGGTGTCTGGTAGTGAAGAGATTTGAGAGAGGGCAAATACTACTTGTCTTCCAATTCATTTTAAATAACTGCAGACTTGTATTGTATCCCAGGTTAGGGAAGGACTTTCTTTCATTGCTCTACACAGAGGAAGAGTATAGTTTGTTTTTGTTTGGGGATAGACTGCTCACCCTCCTGGAGAGAGAAAGCCCACAATGTGACAGGACCCCTGGGAATCCTTCACCAGGAGCATAGCTGACCTGAGAAACTCTTGGCAGCAGTAGGTCAGAGACAAAGGCTGTAGATACATTTTTAAAGGCTGGATAACTTTGTGACCAATAAACACTTGTAACTAGGCAAGCCAAGATAAGTTGAGGAGGACCTAAGTCTCATGCTTTCAGGTGTCAGTTTGTTGTCTCAGGAAAGAATTTCCTCTCCCCCCACACTCACCATCAGAAGAGCAGAACTGACCACCTGGGTTGGTGTCCCTAGCTCTGAAGCCTCAAATATTGACCACTGCTGAAGGACATATGTTCATTTGGTATGACCAACCCTATGTGCCTAGGGAGTGCAGCACGTTCTTCGCTCAGGTCCTGGGTTCAGTACAGTTAAAAGTGAGGCCTTTACGGAAGCACCAGATGCTCCTCTAAGAAGATCTGGGATCTCCTGGTACTTTTGAATGTTTCACATTCTAGTCTGGTGGTGCTATTGTGAACTTATGGACATAGAAATCCATTCTAAACAGGCAGCTGTTCAACACGGGGAAGAAAAAAAAACCTTCAGGAGGAAGAGACAATTTCTTCCAATTCAATTATCCAGGCAAGTAATGGCAGCCAATCAAAAATGGCAGCAGAGTCCTTTGCTATGGACAGTTCCTTGGATTCCAGCATTCATGACGCCAGGAGCAAGAGTGTGGGCTTGGGGCAAACACATCTTGAATCAGGTCAGGAGTTACTGGTGAGGGACAGACACATTCAGAAGAATAGGAGAGATGCTAACGTGGCATTTGAGCCATGTGGTATATGAGTATCTTGTTGTTCCATTCATTATGAAGGTCAGTAGTGTGCATGATTGATTCAAAAAAACTAGAAAAGTTCATGGAGGATAGGTCTATCAATGGCTATGAGCGAGGATGGGCAAATATGGTGTCCCTAGCCTCTGTTTGCCAGAATCTGAGAGTGGACGATGGCATGGATCACTTCATGATCACTCTGTTCTGTTCATTCCCTCTGGGGCACCTGGCATTGGCCACTGTCGGAAGACAGGATAATGGGCTAGATGGCCCTTTGGTCTGACCCAGTATGGCCGTTCTTATGATTAAAGAAAGGACAGATGATATTCTCGGTATAAAGGTTTGGGGAATTCCAGGGATTATGGCGCAAGGTGACTAGAGGCTTCTTTACAAATAAATGCCTAAGATTTGTAGAAAGGAGCCACTAACCCCCACACTTTCTCTGTAGAGCTTGTTTTCCTAGAAACACCATGATGTTTGCATTTTATTGTCATGTCACATAGTCAGTGTGATTTCCCTTTGAGACAGTGTTGTTTTGGGTTTATAAAGTTAACACAGAAAAGCCAAGAGGATATATAAATCCTAAATGTATTTTCCAGGAAGGAACTATTGTCCTGACAGCAACATTATGTTGCTCCTTGTTGATATATGGGTGCCTCCTATAAGT